TAAAGTAAAATGTCCCTATAATTAAGGTAAAGTGATTTCCTTTATTTACTATACCTAAATAATGTCCCTATTTGTCTAATTCTTTTTCCTAGCATATCAAAAGTAACAATATTTCACATTAAATATTAGTAACTATTTATGAGTAATTTAAGTAACTATTAGTAGTACAAATAAATATTACTCTTAGAATTCAAAGAACCTAATAGTCTGAAACAGTCAAATCTGCCACCCAGTAACACTACAAAATCTGAACAATAGTAAGAAGGCTTTTTTTTTAACACCACCAGAAACCGACTATTTCACTATAGTACTCATTCTCTTACTAAAATGCTCTAGATGCTTAAAAATGTGCAGTGGAGATCTGGCTCCCTAAAACATCCACTGAATCCTCAGTGTTAGCTCTGGTTTAGGATCTTTCCAACTTACTCTGAAGTTCTTACACAGAAGCAGACCGCTCCTAGGGAATCAGCAGCATAAGGGATTTGTATATATTCCAAAGAAAGGCCTGATTAAAGCAAAAGAGGCCTCTTTCCAGAGAAATATCATCTGATCAGCCCCCAAAAGGCCTCCCAGACTGCAGTGCACTATAGGTAAGGCTTGTAGATACAGAAGTTTGATCTTAGAAAATACCAGAAGTGAGTCGGCAGTCTCATCCCCTCCCTGCCCCCCCACCCTCCCCTGCAAAAAAAACCAACACAGAACAGTCAGAACCAGTCAGTTCAACTCATATGAAATATATAACTGTCAAATGGATGAGAAATCCAAGGTGGTACTGTCAAAGCCATTCCCAATTTGTAGGCTACACGGAAGTGAAGTTGTTTTAAGACTGTTCAGAGAACAGAGCATCAGAACAAGAGAAATGGATTGACTGAGTGAATATTTAATAGCATCCGACACTAATAGTTTTGTGCATCCATTTCTGCAACTGGGACTTCTAGGTTTTCAAGCTCAAGTTGACTTCTCGGTAGAGATGTAAATAGACCATGAAGCTTCTCTTGCCAAGCTTAACCTTTGTCCAAGGAAACATGGTTTCTTTGGAGATGTGGATAGTTTTAGTCAAGTTTTACACTCTCATATTTCTGTCTCAGTCCATAATGTGTTGCTTTGACAGATTAATTCTCTGAACAACATCTTATTCTAAGCTTTTGGGGAAGAAGAAGGCAGGAATAATGCCAAACGCACACACATACACACACTCTAGGCTATATTGATTTAAGTCTCTGAACGGTTCTGCTTGACTCTGCCCTTTTTCTGCCCATTTTCTTACTTGCCTTGTGGTAAGGTAAAAACTTGCCCTGTCTCTTTCCCCTCTCTCCTCCATCTCTTTCCCTGAAAGTGCAAGGATAGAAACAATACATGTAGCTGTGCTTAAAGCAACCCACCTCTATAGTTCTTGCCTGGAGCCTTGACTAGCAATCTGCATGCAGTCCTGTTAACTGCTACAGGTAACTCAGATTATACCAGAAATTATTTCTTAAAAGGGTCAGGATCTCTTTTAGCATAAATCATTTGTAAACAATTGAGTAGGAAACCAGTTAAAGATTTTAAACAAAAACACAGAGAGTTTCTACCATTGTCACTATCTCTTTTAGCAGAAAGAACACCACCCTTACATTAAACTTTTTTTTCAATGGAAGACAGAGAAATTGATGTCTGAATTGTCAGCCACTGTAGGAAACATGGACTGCCAGAGTGTAATTTTTTATATTATTTTAAATCTTGAAATGCTTCTGTATGCTTGAATACCTGTTCATAAACATCAGGATCACCAATATTATCATCCATTCATATATTTGTTTGGAATATTAGATTTCTGTGTCTCTATTCTTCTTAATATACTTAAATCTCATTTCTAAAATGTGTCTATTGCATTACTAGAAGAGATGATACATTCAGGTTTTCAATCAACAGGTTTACTTGGTTGGATTGACTATAAATTTGCTGACATATATTGATGATTCCTCATTTTCTTGCTCAGGGATCATTTCTTCTACTCATTTATTTTCAATCTTTCTAACTTTCTCATTTGACAGTATCCTATAAGTAGTATAACAGAGCATTCCAAGCTCATAAGGAATGGTGTAAACTAATTAGCAGATTTTATTATAGAAACTATTCCCCTCACACATGATCATCTTATCTGGATAATAAACTTTGTGAAAGTATCTGGTTCTTACTACACGAAGGCAACAGCCTAACCTTTTTTTTTTTTTTTTAACTTATTTCTGAGAGAGAGAGACAGCATGAGCAAGGGAGGGTCAGAGAAAGAGGGAGACACAGAATCTGAGGCAGGCTCCAGGCTCTGAGCTAGCTGTCAGCACAGAGCCCGACACGGGGCTCGAACACACGCGCCATGAGATCATGACCTGAGCTGAAGTCGGATGCTCAACATACTGAGCCACCCAGGTGCCCTGGCAACAGCCTAACTTAAACAAACTCTTACTTTGCCCTTGAACTTCGGTTCATAATTGTGGGCACGGTATAAATCCAGAAACAAAAACAGTATGGGGTGAGGGATGGAGTTAAAAATAAAAAAGTCTAAAAATGAGTTTGTAGTTAAGAAAATTCTTGATCTTCTTTTGCAACCGACAAAAAGAAAACTAGTCCTAATAAGATGTGTTTGAAAAATATACTTGAAATCACAATGTGTAACTGAAATGTTAGGGAAGTTACAGAAAATTCCCCTCCATGCAGGTGTGCAGAAGTGCTGAGGAGTTACTAACAAACACTGAATAGAAGTGTTGAATAGTTTGTTATGGGGAGAAGTTCCAGAATTAAGAATGAGAATCAGTGCTGGTTCGTTACATCAGCAGTGAGGCTGGCTGGCAGAGCCCACTGTGAAAGTCGCCTTTAAACAGCAGGTGTGTGGTTTGGCCACCATAGCTTGTAGCCTCCTGGCAATATCAGCAAATGAGTCTAATCTTCTCTATGGATTCACGGATGACCACAAGCCATTCCCAAGGCGCACCGAAATACCATGATTGTCCTGCTTCAAGTTTAGTCACAGATTCCCGTATTGGAAAGTTCACTCAACATTATTTATTTCAGTTTTTTTGTGTGTTTGCTCGTTGAGCCTCTAATTTGTGTGCCCAAAACACCATGACACAAAATTCCAAAGTAGCTTGGAAAAATGGGAGAAAACAAAACAGAAAGCTTTGTATACTTTTAATCTTTTCCATGGAAGTAGTTCATTGATTTAACTATATTCATCAAAGTAGAAATATTAGAAATGTAATGCCAACAAAATATCACCTAAATAGGTAAAGACACACAAATATAGAACAAATGAATGATTTATATGCAATCTCCAGTCTCTCTAGCATGCTTATAACAAATCCTTTATTGATTTGAGTATGTGATTTGAAATATTACCCATCATTCAAATGTACACAAATATTCCTACACCAGAAAGCACTTAACATATTTAACAATATACTTCAAACTTTAAAGTTCTGCGGATGATGCCTAGACCTTAAAATGTATAGATATTTTATTGCTCTGCTTAAACATAAATAATGCATTTGTCTGATTCGCCAGTATTATGGTATTTTTTCTCCTGACGCATATACACGTCATCCGTGATTGCCAGTACAAAACTGTAAGGATGCATTGTAATAAAAGCTATACCCTTATGTGAAATAATAGGAAATAATCTATTTCATAAAAATAGTAATTCATTCTTAATCTTCCATTACCGCTGCTTCCATTACTTCTATTACAGTGGGATTGAAGAGTATCTTAGATTGAAGTCAAGAAAGTTATTTCTTTCAGGTGTTTAGGCAACAATTTTAAAGCCTGTCAGGTCAGGTCACAGATTACAGAAAAAAATCCAAGAAAGGTAAAACTTTGTATTATAAAATGAACATATTCCAAAGACTGTTTAGAGATGGCCTTACAAATATCAAGCAAATGTATTAGGGCTAACGGTCAGAAAAAGTATCCTAATGTCTTTATAGAAACATAAGAAAACAAAATTTGTTAATGACAGAGAAAAGGGTTCATTTTAGAACACAAATTTTTTCTTTAAATTTTTTTTAATGTTTATTTGTGAAAGGGAGTGGGGGGAGAGTGGGGGAGGAGCAGAAACAAAGGGAGACACAGAATCCAATGCAGGCTTCAGGCTCCAAGCTGTCAACACAGAACCGGATGCAGGGCTCAACCCCATGAACTGCAGATCATGACCTGAGCTGAAGTTGGATGCTCAACCGACCAAGCCACCCAGGCACTCCACAAACTTTTCTTTATTGTGAAAGGGTTAATTTTAGAACACAAACTTTTTCTTTATCGTAAGTTTAACTTTCACATAACCTTGTTAACATAGGCCAGCTACTGTGCATCGGAATACACTCACAGCATTCAATATGTACTGTGTTAGTATCTACATAAATGATTCTGAAATAACGTTTGCTCTTTCAATAGCTTTATTTTGGCAATAAGAAAATGTATGGGTGCTAGTAAAATGCACGTTCACAGTAAATGAAAAAAGCCTGAAAGAATACATTTGTTGCAATTTGCATTTAGTTTGGGGAAAGGTCTGTTTAACAACTGAACACAGCCATATTTTAACTTTTAAGCTCCCACACTGAGAAAAGTATCAAGGTATTGCAGCAATTTACTCTTAGGGACATTATGCTGGGCTTTGAAATTCAAAAAACAGGATAGTTCTTCTTGAATTATTTTATGATCAATGTACAGTCTCGGCACAAGGAAAATTAAAGCTGTCTGACAACTCACAGAAACATCACTGGCTATTAAAGATGGAAGAAATTGCATAAAAGCATGAAAAGCACTGGGTAATTTTGCAGTTTCATCTCTAAACACAATTGTAAAGATGTCTGTCTTTCAATTCTTTCTCCCTCTTTCTTCTGAAGCATGGCCTTTTAGTTCTTGCCCTTTTAAATATCTTTGCCTACTATAGCTTTGCTACTTAATGTCCTGGTTGATCTTACTGGGCTAAGAAAGTATTTACAAGGGGTGCCTGCTTTTATCTGTATTCACAGAGAATGCTAACAAGTTAGAAGAAAGTGCAAGAGAACACCACATACCTTGCCCAGAACATTACAATGGTTTCTGCATGCATGGGAAGTGTGAACATTCTATCAATATGCAGGAGCCATCTTGCAGGTAATGTTTTCACTCTTTAACGACTAAACTGTATAAAGTAAAAATATAAAACTAAATTCTGATGTTTGCAGAGAATTGGATGGCATTCTGACTGAGTGATCAGCAGCAAAACTTTTCACAGCGTCACCTACACACACACACACACACACACACACACCCTAGAAAAACATAAAATGGGTGTGGCTTACATACTGGAGTTCTATGTAACATATTATAATGTATACTTTTCTAAAATTTTAAACTGTACTTTTGGCATTACAAGCTTCTTAAAGACTCAGCTTCCTCCTCTGTTTTATTCACCTCTTTCCCTCGGACGTAGAAGGGCTCTTGACACATAACAGGTGCTCAATAAATATTTCTGAAATGAATGGACAAGGACTTACTGTACATTAGGATACCATCATTGCTTCTGGGAGGTCATCTTTTCCAAAGTCCTTCAGGTGTTCCAATAAATATTATCAATCTTGCTTTTGCTAGGTGCATTCTCTTTTCTGTGGATCTGCAATCCACAAGCCTTGTAGTGTGAGATTATTAGCTATACCTCCCCAGATTCTAACTAGGTTAAGACACAAAAAAAATTCCTTGTCTGGATTTAGTTAATAAATATAAATAGCTGCTGAATATTCATAAATAGAACATAATCATTTTGGAGATGCTAAAGCCAAAGTGAAAACACAGATGTATTTTTATAAAGGAATATACAAGTGGCTTACGATGAAGTAAGTTGTATATTGCAATTCAGTGAAAAGAGTTTCTCTCTCTTCCCTCCTAGTCCTCCTTTTCCTCCTCCTCCTTTTCTGTGTCTCTTTCTTTCTCTCCCTTCAAGAACTGTCTTCCTTTTATGTTTCCCTTAACTGAATACACTAGCACCTACCTTCCAAGTGAAGCCAGGTAGAGAGAACAAAACTGAGATTTGTTCCCGCTGCTCTCTTTTCCTTAGCAGAGTCCCCAGGATTGCACCCTTCTGAGGCAGAAGGAAAGACCTCAGGATGTGGAAATTCCATGTGAAGTACTAAAAGAATTGCACAAAGCCAATGACAAGTTGATCCTCATTGGCATTGTTATGTGAACATTTCCTCATTCCGTAGTCAAATGCTAATTTTAACCCATAGCTGGTCTACTGGAGCTTTCTGATGAGGGCTCAGTAAGTGAAAGCAGCACTCATTTTCAGATGAATAGCACATGGGTTTATTTTACAGAAAGATATTGCCTGCACCATACTTTTCTTCCTACTGAAATTGAACTGTCTAACATAAGTAGACAACTTCATGATCAACAGATCAAAGACATTACTTGTACTTCTGTTCTAAACATTTTTCAACAATTATCCTCACAGTAGTATAGAGAATGCTTTCTCCAAAAATAAATAAATAAATAGCTCTTGCTTGATACCCATAGCCTCCGAACCAAACCTTTTTTCGAGGTAATCATGTTGACTTAGGTTGACTAAAGAAGAAGTTACATGAAATGTGAGGCTCACTTGAAAAAATATAGAAAGAACAGTTATCCAGCTATCTCTGGACATCTATTGTTTCTCTGCATGATCATCACAAACAACCTCCTAGCTTCAAAATCTTATTATAAGTATAAAGAAAAGCCTCATGCCTTTGAAACCCAAAACACAAGGAGATTTTGTTGAAAATAAGTAGTAGAAAAGCATATCTGCAAAGTAGCATTTCTTTTTAGAGAGAGGAAAACAAAGAGCCTAACTTCTCAATGAAGATAAGGATATGGGCCAACTATAAAAATGAGTCCACCAGCTGTAGGTAACTGGACACTATCATTTCTTCCAGGTGCGATGCTGGTTATACTGGTCAACACTGTGAAAAAAAGGACTACAGTGTACTGTACGTTGTCCCCGGTCCTGTGCGATTTCAGTATGTCTTAATCGCTGCTGTGATCGGAACCATTCAGATTGCTGTCATCTGCGTGGTGGTCCTCTGCATCACAAGGTCAGTGCATGTGCTCAATGGCACCCAGATAAAGGAATATGTTGTTTTTCCTTTCCTGACACAGTTCCCTCTAATTGTGAGTCCCTTCGTGGATTCTACGGCCATCCATTCTCTGGAGTCCTATTTCCTCATCATAACAGCATGTGAATAGCATTGATTTTCATGTTGGAGTAGTACAAATTATTTTCCTTATTTTTGCATTTTGATGAGGATTGTTTAATTTTGAAGCAAAGCCATCTTTTTTCTTTAGAGTGTAATCCCAATCTTTGTTTAAACATGCTCTTCTCTCTTAGCTATAAGAAGTCAGTCCTCATTCAAACTATGAACAAGCTATTTAAATGACCAGTGTTTCCTTCTTTACTCAGATCAGGATGCCAAAAGAGGTCAGAATAGATGGTTTGCAAGGCCTAGAAACGTGGTAATGTACAGCTCTCATTTATGGTACTTATAGTTCCAAGTGTAACTCACAGATATCATCGTTTTTAACACATTTGATGTAAACAAGTAGATTTTTATCTTAAGTTAATAAAATAGCTTTTAATTGCAAAATTCAAAGAAAGTAGCTATAATTTAAAAAGATTATGTTGTAGTACATGAAACCCTTTGATATATGGAAACATGCAGTGAATATGACAAGTATTTGTATCAAACCCCTGAACAATGAAATGATCATTGCTTCCTGGAGAGTTAGACTGAGAGAGATACCCTCTGGATCCAGTTTCAACAGGAGAGAAAATCATGGTTAATTAGTGAGGTTTGACATTGTGCTTGAAGTAAAGGAAGTAAGATTAGGTATTCCCTTGCTTAATTTCATCAATGTGTCAATTCATGGCAACGAGACTCATTATTTACGCCCTGTCTAACCAGCCATATGATTGAAGATAACTTCTTTCTGACCTGATTTTATCCTCCTTGAGGTAAAAGTTCCAAGAAAGTTTCTCAAGGTTTTTGCCACATTCACAAGACATTTAAACATTCACTCATTTATACAGCTCTACGGTAAATCAGAATGTTTCCTCCAAAATTATTTTTCTAGACAAGAAAATAAAAGAAACCGTCATATCTTTAGAAAATAAAGGCCATAATACATCTCTGTAGCTGTTTTGCACTATCTTCTTTGAGGACAAGTGTGGCATTTGCTCTTGAAAAAGACAAAATATGGTTCATAAATCCTTGCTGGGCCTAAAGGCTTAAGGGAAGATCATCGACTGGAGCTTTGTGCTGCTCGAAGCCAAGTTGAGCTCATCAACTAGACTCTCACGTTTAGATGCCAAGTGAGTCAATGGATTATATTAAAATAGATTCTAGGGAACATAAAGATAACTCAAGAAACCAAAAATACTGAGTATAAAGGAAAGATAGAAAAGACTCTAAAACATGAGAAATGGTGCCACGTTACTCTAAGGGGTTTGAGCCTTCTGATATCTACACGATATCAGCACATGAGAAACCAAATTCATATTTAATAGGTCTCATCTCATAACAGTTGGATTTGCTACTTCATGTACTGACAAAAATGCGAAACCTTCAATATTTTAGCATATGTTCTCAAGTTTGTTATTAATCACAGTCCTGTTCCCATACAGAACAGCTGGAATACAGCTAACTGTTAAGTGGTTAAGCCGCACTTAACCACTGCTCATACTGCCCCTTGGCTGGTCATGATATTGTGTGCCCTGATGCTTACGACAACCTCAACTGAGCTCCAAATTAGCCATTTTTTCAAGGCAAATGGGCATTTTCATTTTCCATGTTAAAACAAAACAAAACCTAATCTCTATTTACTTTTGAGGATAAGTACATGAGCTAAATTATCATTATTTCAACGCCTTTTACAAATCTGTCCTAGGGTGTCTGAGTCTTCCAAAGTCTTTCCAGGAGTCATACTAGTGAACAAGCCACACTTTTCCCAGTGTGGATTCATTTCACTCGCATGAAAACATTCTGCTCCAAAACAGATTTTCCAACGAGGCCATCTGCCCATCACCCAAATCCTCCCTTTTTCTGGCCACCTTGACCACACCTGTCTGTCAAGACCTATCCCAATGTATCCAGTTGCTAAAATATTTATAAAATTGCACCAAGTGGAGGTCTGCTCATTCTCTTCAATTTTCTTTCAATTTCTCAGTCACCTGGGCTCTCCTGTTTTCTCTCTTCTCCTTCTCCCACTTACATTTTTCTAATCGCTTCCCCTTGTTTTTATTATGTTACTCAAACATCTGCCCTCCTTCTAACTGCAACATATGTTATAAAATTATCGACATCCAGAGACATGTTCTGGAATGTAAAGAGTTGCCCTGTTTGGAAGATGGATTTTCAGTCTTTTTATCTCTAGCTCCGACTTGCCGGGACTGTGACTTTCAGCTCCATGTTCATTTTGACATATCTACCACACCCTGGTAAAAAATATAAATCTATACCATGTATGTTTATTCACATATGAACATATATATGAATGTCTAATCTCTGATGCCCATCTTAGTATAATAGGATTTTATATGAACTTTATATTGTTGTTCTTATTTGCATCATCAAAGCACTCGTTTATTACAAGAGAAAAGACACCCGGCAGATCAGAGCTTTTCAGGTAATTTGACTGAATTTAGCTTTTTATGGAAGCTAAATAACAGGTCCCAATTTATGTCTGTAGTTTATAGTATCAATATGTAAAAGTGATATTAGGCTGAACCGAAACAGTATCCCTTTCCATTACATATCAGATATTAACAGTTGGCTCATTCTCTGGTTGGATAGGATTTAAATTTGTAGCACTGAAATGTCAATATAACATTCATCCTTAGGACATTTAAAATATAAAATTGTTGAAGACATTTAAAGTGAGATTAGATGAGCTCACAACTTGCTTGATCGCATTGTGCTGAGTCATTCTTGTGCCTTCCTGGGTGAGCAGCTGAAGACTAGGTAACAGTGTTCTCTCCAACTTCCGCCTCTGTTCCTCAGATCTCCTCAACAAATGCCTAAACACAATGGCAAGGAGAAGCAAAAAGGAAAAAATCTCCCAACATAATCCCAGCTTCTACTACTAATCAATTCCTTGGTCTGAACTATTTTAACAATTTGCTTATCCACAACTTCGCTCTGTAATTGTAGGACCAAATTTCAGGTAATAGCACTGGACTAAGATCTGTAAACTTTCCAACCTTCTAGGAAATGCCCCAGAAGCAACAGAATTCACAGACAGAAGCAAAATACAGGGCACTACAGTTCAGACAACACAACAAGAGCATCCACGAGGTTAATCTAAAGGGAGCATGTTGCACAGTGGCCGGACTACCGAGAGCTGGGACTACACAATACAGTATTATAGACAAAAGAATAAGACAAGATTTCTACACATGTTGCCTTGCATTTGTGGTAATCTACACCAATGAAAACATGTACTACAGCTATATTTGATTATGTATGGATATATTTGAAATAGTATACATTGTCTTGATGTTTTTTCTGTAATGTAAATAAACTATTTATATCACACAATATAGTTTTTTCTTTCCCATGTATTTGTTATATATAATAAATACTCAGTGATGAGAAAAAATTGGCATTCTTAAATTTGCGTTATCTCATAACTGTAAATATAATCAAGCTAGTACGATCTGTACAGGCACCAGTAGTTCATCTTTCCCCACGTCTTGAGGCAGAGCATTACTTTATACAGGACTCGGTTGCTAGGTTTTGAGTGATTCCAAGATCAAGGGAAATGATGGTTATTGGAAAAGAGAAAAAATAATTTACTTTATATCGAGTGAGGATAAAATATTTCAGATCTCCGAATCACCGCTATTTCATCAACTTCCCTGGTCTTCCTTTTTCATCCCCAGAGCTGAAAAATCTCTGGCATATAAATTAAATCAAAGAAGAAGGGGAGGGAAAGTGTTTTATAACTCATAAAAAAGGGGGAAAGAAGATATTGGTTTTTATTTGGAAAGCACCTTAGAATCTCCCCGTTAAGTGCATATACCTGAAGGGTCCAGAACAAGATACACATCAGGAATACACAGAGCACAAAATCTATTCCATTTAGGTGAGTGGAATTAACAACTTGGAAAAAAATTTAATAACACCATTAAAAGTGAAACACGAGAGTCCTGGATTCTCAGAAGCACCTTGCTGCATTTATAGTAAAGAGTTCTATAAAAAAAAGTTAGAATCCCCATCACATTTCTTGTGAATAGCTTTATGGCTAATGCAGCACCATTATTCCAAGTGAAACTAGGTTGACGATGATATTTCATAAAGACACAGAACTATGTTTTAAGTATATTTATATGCTGACATAAGAAAGCAAATTAATCCTGGGGCACCTGGGTGGCTCAGTCAGTTGAGTATCTGACTCTTGACTTCAGCTCAAGTCATGATCTGCTGGTACATGAGTTCGATCCCTACCTGGGGCTCCATGCTGACAGTGTGGAGCCTGCTTGGGGTTCTCTGTCTCCCTTTCTCTCTCTGCCCCTCTCCCACTCATCTTGTCTCTGTATCTCTCAAAATAAATAAATAAACTTTAAAAAAAAACAAATTAACCCCATAGCATCTGAAAGAATTTAGTTGATAGGATTTTCAGTATGTAAATAGGTACGAATGGAAAGAAAGAAAATGTGAAAATTCTCGAAGAATAAGAACTAAATAACAAATCAACTAATCGCCTTATTATGATTTTGTTCTTCCCAGCTTTCTGTGGCTAATGTAGTACATCTAAATAAAGCTTTCTCTGTCTCCTTTAAATGTCCTCTGCATGGAGTAAGAGGAATGATACTTCTGTGTCAAGAAAAAAAAAAAAGACAAATATCACATCCATACATTTTGGATATAAAATATTTGGTAAAAAATAAGTTTCTTGAAGTGATATTTAAGATATTTGTTAAAAAATGTAAAAAGTGACAATCTAAATAGGTCTCTGTGTAAAACCTGGTACAAAACAAACTCCATTTAAACTTGTACATGGAGCTTTAGTTTGATTACCAAGTGCAGAGATGTACTAGCAGCAATCTCCTTTGTAAGACAGTAGTTTATGGCAAAAACAAAAAAAACAAAAAAAAAACCCTTCCTCCTAAGGGAAGACCAACAATGCAATACTACAGAGCTTAGCAGAGTTTAAAAGAAACAATTCCACGGACCTTTCACTGTTAAGACTTGCTTCGCTAAATATCGGTATGATACTTTGCAGGAATTTTTATCAAAGAATCATAAACCTAAGTGTTGGAAAAGTCCTTGGAGTTAATAAAACAGTGCATTCCTGGGGGCACCTGGGTGGCTCGATCGGTTAAGCACCTGACTTCGGCTCAGGTCGTGATCTCACAGTTTGTGGGTTCGAGCCCTGCATCGGGCTCTGGGCTGACAGTTCAGAGCCTGTTTCAGATTCTATGTCTCCTTCTCTCTCTGCTCCTCCCCAGCTAATGCTCTGTCTCTCTCGGTCTCTTTGTCTCAAAAATAAATAAACATTAATAATAATAATAATAATAATAATAATAATACAATGCATTCTTATTCACCTCCATGCTCACCTACCCCATAAAGGAAATCCTTTTAAAGGAAACATCGTGAATCCTAAGTGAGCACATATTATGTGCCAAGTCCTATGCAAAATGTTAGGATTGTTGGACAATTCTAATTTTGAGACCTATTTTTCTAATGTTGAGTTGAATTTTACTTCTCTGTAGTTTCTACCCATGGCTCTTATTTTTCCTTTCTGGGGCAAAATGACTTACTTACTTAAGAATCTAAGATCAGATACCATGTTTTTTCCACTCACTCCATGGCCTCTTTGCAAGTACTTTCTTCTCCTGGTGAAGTATCCTTAATGTTTTCATCTGATCTTCATGTGATATAGTTTCCCCTACCCCCTGACATCTGCGTCATCCTTTCTTGGACAAATTCTACTTTGTCTGTTTATTCTTATAAGCATAGAGGTCAGAATTACACAGTTGTGGTCTGGTCAGAAGAGAAGATAGTTGAACTTGTAAAAAACAAATTTAACTGAGAGCCACGATCTCTAAATTCAAGTTCCTACTTTGATCACAAGTTTGCTGTAGAATCATGAGCAAGTCATTTCACATCACTGGCCTTATTGTCCTCATTATCTCCATCTCTGTGGCTCTAAGCTTCTAGATATTCAGAAATCAGATACTATACTTTTGTTATTGCTACCCAAGACCACACTAACTATTTTTGCTGCTTGTTCTCATCTTAAATTTAAAGCTCTTTAAATAAACTGCTAGTAAGCCATGCCATTCTCCCATTCATTCATTATACGTTTATTTTATATTATACAGGCCCTGAGGGCCACCAATTATCAGCACCACACTGAGCAATGAGACTACAAAAATAAATAAGGCAGAGTCCCTGCGTGAAGGGAGCTCACTGTCCAATTGTCCTGGTTCCTTGCATCAAAGACCTCACAGCCCTGCTGGGAGACTGAGAGCTATAAAGAATGCAACAAAGGCTATGATAATGGTCAGTTCAGAGCGCTTGTGGCCCCTGCAGGAGGAATCTCAAGGCCACGTAGATGTGCCTCCTCTCAGTGAGATACACAGGATGACTTCCTCATTCTCCATACAAATGCTGACTTCTTGTTTCTGAGATTTTATCCACCTCTCCCTGCTCCTCCCTTTATACCCTTCTTTTGTCCACAGTACCCTGAGCAAATACCAGCTTATCGGTGAAGCCTCCATGCTTCCTTTGGCAGTCTCCCTAATTCCGTCGTAGCATTTTTGCATGTTATTCCTTACTTATATCTGTCTTTCCCTTAGCCTGGGGAGCAATCAGAGCGCAGAAAATTAGCACCTTGCCAATTGTTTCCATTTATTCAACGAACATTTATTGGATGCCTACACCAGGCCAGAGACTATTCTAGGTGTTATTATGTAGTGATGAAGTAGATAACAGGTCTCTGCACCCACGCTGACTCTAACAAAGGAGATAGCAGTGAGGATTAATTAAACGGTAAACAGAAACAACAACAAAACTATAAAGTTATAAGTTCTATTGAAAGAATGAAAGTTAGAATGAGGTGACTCGGGGTGACTGGATGGTGAGTAGGGTTTGGATCCCTCCAAGGAGACTGTGGTCCTTTAAACTTGGCTTCTGACGCAAGGCAGAAATGGGTCCTGGGCCAAGTTCCACTTTACTAACTACTCAACCTTGAGCAAATTGCCTCATTTCTGTATGCCTTGTATTGATTTTCTTTTTAATTTGTTTAAGTTTATTTATTTTGAGAGACAGTGAGAGCAGATAAGGGGCAGAGAGAGAGGGAGAGAGAGAATCCCAGGCAGGCTCTACGCTATCAGCGCAGGGCCAGATGCGGGGCTCGAACTCACAAACTGTGAGAACGTGACCTGAGCTGAAACCAAGAATTGGACATTTAACCAACTGAGCCACCCAGGTTCCCCGCCTTGTGTTTAAGATGGAGAGAAAAGTCTTCCCATCCTCAATAATACTACTATGAGAAGTAACTAAGAGAATCCCTGTTGTGCGTAGAACAATGACATGTACAGAGTAAACTTTGGATGTATGGAATTTTTATTCAGGGATATAATAAATATTTACTGTAAGAGTCATCAAGACGAAAACAACATATTTCATCAGTTAAGTGAAACATAAAGGGAATCAGATGGTTCAAGTTAGGAGGCATCGAGCTATCACCTACTCAAAGGATTGTCTCTGTGGAGACAGGAAAGCTGGTGCTGGAAAAAATGAGGCAATATAGAACTAAGGAACAATACAGCGCCTCTATTTTTTTTTTCAGATGGGTTCACTGGCATCATGTCTGAACAAAAGGAGGGATCATTCTTTCATTTTAAAAGAGGCCTGTCCTGATAAAGCACATACTGTTAAACCTCTTGCGTGTGTTTCCAGGCACGGGATGAGTGAGTCAATATTGCAGTGACTTTGCAGGGCTGAATTCTTTACTTTCATGAATCCTTGAGGAGAAGTCAGTGCAGACTATCAAAATATGACAGAGATTATCTCAGAGTCATGTTAGATTCTCAGCTAATGTTTGTCTTCAGCTGCGACCTCCCTTCTCCAAAGTCATGCGGCACCTGCTCCAGTTGCTACTGTCCCTCAATTATAGCAGACACCCCAGTTATAGAATTAATCCTCTGGATATCAGCAACAAAAACCCTTTCACCTATTTAACTGCTGTCTTTATATGAGCATTCACATTATATGAAGGATGAAGGATTATACAAAGTAATAGCATCGGTTTTGTAAAGAACACCTAAATGTACAAATGACTATGAGCCTTTGCAATCAGCACCAGGAAGGGATGGGTGAGGGGCAGCCCACCTGGTCATATTCACACCTCCGTCCACCCTCACTCTGGACAAAAATCTGCTTTCTTGGTCCACGCACTCTAGGAATGCGACCTTCCTCGATACCTATCTCCAGGAATCCTAAATGAGCTATTTTAACTTGGGTTTTCTATTTGCTTTTAACCATTTAATTATTTTTCATTATCTATCTTGCATCAGGTAAGAAAT